TCACACCTATGGTCAAATTAGTGAGACAGAAAACAGAGCGACCTGAAGGGTTTGGACCGCTGACCCTTTTACTGTAAGGCACTTTCCGGTTTAGGTTGAATAGAAGATTTACTGGCAACAACAGTGGAGGACTACAGGAAAAAACTGAGCTCACCCTCCGTCCACTGGTCACTCAAACACACCTTGTTATTTACACACGCTGCGGGAAAGCGTTTTAGTTTCACTGAATCTCCTGGATCATCAACTCTCAGCACGTGTTTGTGGAGGCTCAACCTCAGGTCAGCGGCCCCAGCTTGTGTCAGAGCAGCCTGTCTGACTGACACAACACACCGACTCCACCCCAGCTTGTGTCAGCCTGACTGACAGACACAACACACCGTCTCTATGGAGAGACATTTTCACTCCGACTGTTCAAACACCAACAGACGTCAGGTGTCAGTCAGTACGAAAACTCACCATCCAATCAGAGTCCAGGTGTTTGAAACCAGCACAGAACACGAGACAGTTTCTTTAAAAAAGGAGGTAGAGAGGAAAGAAGGAAGGAGAGACAGAGGAGACAAGTCCACAGAGGGGACTGAGAGACCAACAGGACTTACTTGCAGGACAGCTGGTTAATACCATGTATGAAGTAACAGTCTCCTCCGTTGGCGCAGTAGGTCTTCTCCGTCTCATTACAGCGTCTCGCGTGACTCACACCTGGAGAGGGTGTGGTGCTCGTCACTAAAAGACAGAAAAACACCGTCACTTCCAACAATGATGGGAAAAAAAAGGCCGCAAAAGTATTTACAGTGACGTTAGGGCAAATAAAAAAAAAGCAGTTTTTAACCTTTAGTGAAACAAAGACATTTTTAAAATAAGACACGTGTGTGTCCAGGTATTTTATCAGCTCTCAACGCAAAAAAAAAAAAAAAAATCTTAATATTGTGTTTGTCTCGCTAAGCTAGTGCACGTTACTAGAAAAAATATGTTATCGATGTAGTCTGACGCAGGGCCGACGCAAGAGGGTTTGCGTACTGGAAGTGGCCCACGGGCCAGGAGTTTGGCACGTTGGTCTGAATCTTGTTTTTTTTTTTTTCATCAGTTTGTCTATAATTATATATATATGTATGTTTGTATATATATATTAGGTAGAACGGTGGCTGAAAGTTTGCTGGGTAGAAAACGTAAATGTCCTCACAGATCTGCACGCTGATTAAACTGGTGGTGTTTTCTTGTCCCAGTGAGTTTTCGGCCACACAGGTGTAGTTTCCAGAGTCTTCCACACGGACACGGCTGATCTGCACCTTGGAGTTTTTTCTTCAGCGAAACCGGAGATGTCGGGGTGGGGGGTGAGAGGAGGATGACAGGTCAGGAAAAAGAAAAAGACATCAAGATTTATCAGTTACCAGGACGGGACGAGAAAATTTAAATTTGACTTTGTCAACCAGAAATATAATGTGATCAAACTGGGATCAAACTGGGATTAAATCCAGACCTGGTTGAGTTTCAGGTCCTTGTTGTGAACACTGTTAGAACCAGAACCAGAACCAGTTCACTCCAGTTCACCTTGAACTCACTTGTTGGTCTTTATTTTCAGGTCTCTGCCTTTCTGGAGCTCGTGTCCGTCTTTGTACCAGCGGAAGGACGGACTGGGATTCCCGGACGCCTCGCACTTCAAGTAGAGTTTGTCCCCCTCCACCAGAGACTGAGCCCGCATCAGTCGAAGCTTTGGAGCCGAAGCTGGACACAGGGAAAAGAGAGGAGGG